TACAAACAAAGCAATGGGTCCGGATGGCATTCCCGCAATAGTACTCAAAAATTGCGCCAACGAACTCACCCCAACTTTCGCAAAATTATTCAATTTGTCTTACAGGCAAGGAGTATATCCATCATCATGGAAGTCTGCCGCAGTACAACCCATTCCAAAGAAAGGAAAAAAGACAGATCCGTTAAACTATAGACCAATTGCTCTACTTCCGGTGATATCAAAAGTAATGGAAAGAGTTGTGAACAATCACCTAACCAAGTACTTGGAAAAGTACAAAATTATCAACGATAAGCAATACGGATTTCGAAAATATAGGTCAACTGGCGATTTACTTACATACGTCACTCACTTATGGCAAAAAGCGATTGAGTTGCGGGGTGAAACAAGAACAATTGCCTTAAATATATCTAAAGCATTCGACAAAGTTTGGCATGAAAATATGCTCAACAAGCTCAAAGCAATGGGATTATCGCCGAAACTTTGCACTTGGTTTGAAAGTTACCTAAAGGACAGATCCATTTATGTGGCACTGGATGGCCAGAACTCCAACTCTTACCAAATAAATGCTGGTGTGCCACAGGGAGCAATCCTTTCGCCAACTCTTTTCCTGATTTACATAAATGACCTCATAGATAAAACAGTAAATCCACTTTATTGCTTTGCAGACGATGGCAATGTAGTCTCCTCACTCATACCACCCACAGGACTTTCCGCACGTGAATTCCATCATCTTAGACTAACTCAAATATCGCAGATAAATAACGACCAGGGTCCTTATTCTTGAAATAGGGGAGCAGCGTTCCCAGGAGAACGAGTGTTCCGTCTTTGTTACTTGTATTATCAGTTGCATATCATTGAGAAAGACGGAACACTCGTTCTCCTGGGAACGCTGCTCCCTTGTTTCAAGAATAAGGACCCTGGAGATAATAGAGGACTGGGGTAACAAAAACCTTGTACAGTTCAACGCGCAGAAAACCCAAGCAGCTCTGTTTTCAAAAAAGACCAGCACCGGTGAGCCAAACATGATGCTATCTGGAAGTGCTGTCACATTACAGAGTCAGTTGAACATCTTGGGGGTTACTGCAGAGACCAACATGTCTTGGCACAGTCACGTGGCAGATATTGCTAAAAGGGCCTCCCAAAAGCTGGGGGTGCTATTTCGTACAAGACATCTGTACACACCAAGCCAATTGCTGACACTCTACAAAGCCCAGATTCGACTATGGAGTACTGCTCACATATATGGAGTGCAGCACCCAAACATACCTTAATGCTTTTGAATACCGTGCAAAAACGAGCTATCAAGCTGATCAATGACCCCGCACTTACTCGTAACTTGGATGGTCTCGAACATCGCAGATCTGTGGGCGATTTATCTCTCTTCTACAGGTACTATCACGGAAAATGCTCTGAAGAGTTGGCACGTATGATTCCACCGAGAGTAGCGCCTATCAGGCGAACCCGTCAAACAGACGGTAACCATGAATTTACTGTCAAACTAGAAGCACCAAGAACCTCATTATATCAGAATTCATATCTCTGGAGAACAGCATCGCTGTGGAATAAACTCCCTGCGACGGTTTTCCCTGCAGGTTACAACCTGAACCATTTCAAGACCAACATACACCGACATTTCCGCGCACTTGCCGCTTCTCGAGCGTGATAGGACATTTCCTTGCGAGTGCGCATATCCGTAAAAAAAAAAAACACACTGTGTTCGATTGAGGCTGGATCAGTGCACCCTCATCAACAAAAAAATTATCTAGATTAGAAGCTCACCTAAATTGAACCCAAATCGATCTAATCTGGGTCAATCGAATTCAGCTTATATAGAGATACGTGGTATTAAAGTCAAGATCGGTCCAGCCGTTCTCGAATTCAAAAAATAATAAAGTTACGTCGGTTGTATGGCAAGCCTAAATAAATGAAATGTGGCAACGTTGTTTCTTGCTGTCAAAAAAAAGTTGGGTTATGTTGTTATGTAATGTAAATGAGTTTGTTCACAATTAAGTTAATAATTAATTCAGAATTAATTTCTTTTTTCGAGATGCGTAACCTATCCACAAACCTTGCTTGGGATGGCCATAACAACCTACCGAAGTTTCATCGTAATCGGATAAGTGGTGTAGGAGCGCATAAGGCGCAAACCCAGCAAGCAAGCAAGCAAACAAACATTGATTTTTATATACAGTGTCATTACTTAAGTGTGTAACATATGGGATTTTTTTTTAGTAATAGCACAATCAAAATACAAACAAGGCCAAAAGTTGGTGCATGTCTGATAATCATCTTAGGTGCACTTAGAATGTTTGCAAGTCAAACAGCATACAGGGTGGCTCAAAAAATATCAAAATTCTACTAATATTTACTTAAATAAAATAAAACTTTTGCACTTTAAGGAGAGTTTTTTTAATATGGCTATTATCATTAGTAATGTTTTAACTTGTTAAAAAAAAATTGCAACCTTTTAAAGTTGTGTTGAATATCATTGCAACAAACATGAATTTTGTGATTCCATAAAAAATTAAAAATCTAAGTTAATTTTACAAATATGCTTGAATTTGAACAAAGTTATGTAAAATTGATTTGATTTTAATTAATTTTTGAAAGTCTCAAGGGCGGAAATCAAAAATAAAAAAAATATAGAAATTATAGATTTTTTTTGAAAAAAAATAAAAAAAATCTTAGGAGGCTATGCTTTGGTATTTAGGCATTACTTTTAATTCCAACAACTTTTCTCTATAACATTTTGTTGAATTTTCTAAAATAAGGGTACTTTACAGTACCAGCTTTGATATTGTTTGAGCTACCCTCTATGCTGTTAGACTTGCAACCATTCTAAGTGCACCTAATATGATTATCAGACATGCACCAACTTTTGGCCTTGTTTGTATTTGCGTTGTGCTATTACTAAAAAAGAATCCCCATATGTTGCACACTTAAAAAATCACACTGTATATAGATGTATAGATGTATTACAAAAAAGTATTTACATTTAATATATATAATTCTGGTGTCACAGTTTTTGTAACAATACTCCTCTGAAACGGCTTGATCGATTTTTATAAAATTTTATATGTATATTCGTTAGGTCTGAGAATCCATCGTAATCTGTTTTTTATACCAGTTAGTGATAAGAGTGGTCCACCCCAAAGATTCTTTTTTTTTGAACATTTTTTAGTTTTATGTTTTTATGATGTGGCTTAAAAAATATATACAACCCTGAATTTTCACTTTTCTACTACCAAAGCCTATTTTTTTAATAGGGATATTAGCTGACTCGGGTACTTTCCTTTTCAATATAGTCAAGTTAATTATCTACTAATTAAGCCGAAAATGTTTCAGTCGATCTGGAAACCCTACCGGATTGAGAATAGAACGTTGTGCGAAAATTTAAATGTGATTCGCGAAAGAGTTTTGAAAAGTTGAAATTAAACACAACCCACCATATAATTATGTTATCAATAATTATATTAGGTTTGTGTAGTAGTTATGTGCAACTAGGATACTTAGAAGTATCGGTATCGAATGGATACTTGAACTTAATGTATCGGATACTTTGGAACCTATGTGTTGGGATTGTTGAGAAATAGGATTGGGAATGATGCATAACTAGCGGAGAATCCCACAGACAACAATCACAAAGTCTATGTAAATGAGGTATAGCGCACGGATTTCGTACGAATTACAAATCTGCACGCTGCATGATAACAGGTTTATGTAAATTTTGAAGGAACGTGAGAAAAAAAGTATCTTGAGTATCCAAGCATTTAAAAATAAAGTATCGGGGATCACTGACTGAGCCACAACAACGCGTGGCCGGGTCAGCTTGTATACATTATATAAACCAAGACCTATCTGTCGTCACTGGTCACTGAGAATCGGTAATTTCCCCAAGTGCAATAAGTGCTTCCCCGAAAAATACGCTTAGTTGTCGCCACGGTTCGAGGTCGGGAAGTTCAAGTTAGAGAAGTTTCACTGTACTTTTTGATGCAAATCTGAATACGCTTAAAAACCTAGTGTGAACTGATAATTTATATTTGAATACATTACGAATTAAATAAAACATAATTTGATATAAGATAGTGGGAAAAAGGTAATTTCCTTCATTGCTGATTTACATGATTATTGCGTTTGTCTTCTAAATATACCTGTAAGTATTGAAAGAAATTCAAGTAATGCTAAGTAAAATTCATATATATTAAGAGGAAGGGGTTTCCGATGGGTTGAGGCAAAAAAAAAAAACGTCAGAATGTAAGAAAACAAGACCTTTTTTTTCCAGTGAAAGTATAATAGCACAAGATGACGCTGCTGCATCCAACGAAAAAAACGAACAAATTACTCCCATATATAAAATCGTTTCAGTCCTAAGTACATATAGGATCAAGATCACTTCTATGTCAAGTATTGACGACAACAAAATTCAAATTATAGACCGCTTGAAAATAAAATATACTTCATGCCCCCTAGACGTAGCTACAAGCAAACTGTTTTCTACATTTTATTTTTTTAAATCCGCAAATACAACTTTAATCCCAAAAATTAACCACAAAAGCATTCGACTAAGCCCAGAAAGCAAATCCACAAAAGAAGCAGAGCACGGCTTGAATTTTTAAACGGCAGAACGGAGCAAGGACGATTATATTATAGTATAAAGCCGGAGCACACTCGGTGGTTTCGTGTAAGTAACGATGTGTGTGTTAACCCCCGAATTCCTTCGGGATCGTCCCGCTACCGTACTTAGCGAAGCACGCGGCTGGCTCCTTCGGGAATACCAAAGAGCGTGCCGCTAATTACGGGATACGGATACTCGGAGAACGGGCGGAGTTGAATTTCTTCTATAGAATGACATATACGCCAAGCGAAACCGGGGAGACGAAATGGGTTACGGGGATTTTGAAATGTATATGTATTCATGAGAGTCTCCAACTCTGATATACATGTAATTTTTTCAGTAATAATTTGTTTTACTTTTGTCAAAAGCGTATTTATTTTATAATTTATATAATTCGTATTCTTACCTGGAATTTGCTTAAATCTATCTCGGCCACTCTTCGCAGTAGCCTAAAAGTAGCAGTTGCCAGACTAAGGCAAGGAGGTGGAATGAGCGATGGTGATTGACCTTCTACTCTAGGAGTTGAATCTGGAGGTAACAGAGATCCATATAGCATAGAGACGCAGCCTAAAAGCTCGGTACCGTGCAAAGTGGAAACCTGCAAAATTATTTAAAAAGACATTATAATCTAAAACTTGCAAATGGAAAAAAAATGTACAAGATCAAACTTTTATTAAAAAACAAGGGTGAAAACTTTTTAAGTTATAAAAAAGGTCTCCGAAGTAACTCATAGTACGAAATTTCAATTTTACAGAATTGTGCTAAAGTTTAGAGAAAAAGTTTCCTTGCCCGTAAATAAATTATTTGAAAGAATCTTCTTGAAAACTTGTTTAGCTCTTTATTATTTAACTTTCATGTGCTTTTTTTTTAGGTCTTGATAAAAAACTTAAGTATTTAACTATTTATTTACCAGGTGCGTGGGATCACTGTCTTCGGGACAATGATGTGCCAACGCTGCCAGAAACTCCAAGGCTGCCAACAGAAACGAACAAGCCGGCGGTACATCGTGGACGGGCCCGCGTACTGCCAAACAGCATCGGGCTAATTGCTCTACGATTCCCACGCAGACGCAGAAACTGTAACAATATAATAAAATTAAAACTGGTTGCAAAATTATATACCAAGTGTGATCAAACATTAAACAATATTTAACTTAGATATTGAATAAACTGTCCGAAGTTGCAAAAGGACTTTACTTTAGCCAACAAATTTCCAATTCTGATAACACTCAAACGGAGGCATGGTCTATATAGGGTTGCCAACTTTGTTTTTCAATTTTTCTGGACGAGGGTATTAAAATATCAGGACATCCGGTATAAATTCTGGACATTTTTATTATTGCAGAGAAAAATACCATTTACAAACTTAAATGAACAACGTGAACATTTTGGGTTAATTTTTTTCGCCTTTCCATCCACAGACGCGTTTCGATCTATCAGATCTCATCAGTGTGGTTAGGAAAGCCATGAAACCCAACCCAAGTTTAGTCCCTGTAGGCAAAGTAGAAGTAGTACGAAGTACCTACAGGCTGAATCCTAGTATTAGATGGCGCCACGACCAAAATTCGCTCTTCGTAATAAATAAGCAATTCGAAAAAAAAATAAACTTACTGATACACTAAAAAAAAAAAAAAAATCCAACCAAAAAATTCCTTTGGGTGAATAGGAACTAATTATTTAAAATTTTATTTCAAGTAAGTACGCAGATTAACAAATTATTTAAAGTGTATAAAAAGTTAAGATCAGGGTACTTTTTTCCACTTTTTGCAGCTACCATTAACTTCTTGATACCTCTCACAAAATCATAAAATTCTTTGCAAGTACAAGAACACTTAATTAAGCTTTATTTGCAGTTCTGCCTTGATGTGTGTTCAATGCACAATCGATTACGCGAATCAGTACACAAAGCTGAACGCATCGAAAAAATTTATTCATTCAAAATATAAAAAATAAAGGTTGCAAAATGATCCAGAAGTTTTTCAACTCAGTATAAGTCAAAAATAATAAATTCCATTTTCAAGTAATGTTTAAGATTTTCGTTATCAATCAGAACCATGTTTATAGCCGACTTAATTTGACAGAATTCTTCATTAAGTTAAAAATTAAGTACAATAGGCATCCTGCAATAGGTTGTTACAGGACGCTGGACAATGGACCCCAAATGGTGGACGTCCACCGAAATGCAGGACGGTTGGCAACCCTAGGTCTATAATTAATGAAATAAGAGGTAAAAGTTCTCGCCCTCAGTTCTCTTATTTATTTACTCATTTATTTATACGGGATAACCCCATTAACTGTTAAATAACAACAATCAATAATAATAGGATTAGGTACTAATTCGAGCCGCTCGATCAGAAGGCCCCGTTTACATGTGTAAAAACAAGTGGTTACTGCAAGCGCAGCGTGACATCGAGTCACCTCTTCCAACGTATTACCATGTTGCAGCAGGGCCGTTGTGAGATGTGCTCGGACTCTCGGACGTCCAGCGAGTTTAGTTTTGATCAGTCGCTTGAATTATTGTCTATAGGAAATCTAGGAATAATAACGATAGGAATTTTTTCGTCGGGATCAAATTATGAAATGATAAGTAATTTGACCTGACGATTGTAATAACTGCTGAACTAGAAAAAAATAAATTATTTTAAAAGAACCGAAATATTTTGCGCTATTGCCCCGGCCCCTTGGCCCCTTAGGGCAAGCCGTCACTGGTATACATGGTATAAAAAAACATATTTGACTATCAACCTGAAGCTATTTTCTTCAAAGCACTAATGATAAGTGAAAAATATCTACATTGAGATCATTTAGTTATGACATATCTATGCACGGGACTATTGATTCCATATAACGTTCAATGAAAAGTTCTAAGATTACGTAATGCATGATAATATGGAACATGTAGACAGACCTGATTTACGAGATCAGGGTTGTAAATCAACCCATTCATAATCTTATAGACAAATATTGCACTAAACATATCACGACGCTTACTCATTGGAGCCAAGGATAATTGGTGTTCAATCTCGCTATATTCATGATCCACTACAGTTTTATTATCCAACTTATAGGCACATACTCTCAAAAATGTGTGTTGCACTTTTTCAATTAATTCAGAATGAACCTGATAAAAGGGCGACCACACAACTAAACAGTATTCAAGAATCGTTCTCAGTAGAGCGCAGTGAACAAAATTATATAAAGCAACTGAAAAAAAAATTGCAATTTATATTTATGAAACCTAACATTTTAGAACTGTTGACAACAACAACAATTGAGCAATATGTTCAGAAAAGGTTAGTTTCTCGTCAAATGTAATACCTAAATCTTTAACTGTCTGTATATATTTAATTTGCTGGCCATTCAATGTGTAAGAAGTTTGTATCCTGTTTGGTCTTCTGGTAAAATTCATAAAACAGCACTTTTCCATGTTCAAATGTAACTTGTCAGTTTCGCACTATTCTGATAGACAATTTGAATCTTCTTGCAATATTTGTTCATCACTCATAAACTCAATTTCCTTTCAAAATTTTAGATCGTCAGCAACACAAACACAAACAATAGAGAAAGCACTCAATGATATCATTAACAAAAATGTTTAATATATGGTGAACAATGTCACCCTGCGGAACTCCAGATGTGACAAATATTACCTATGAGTAAAAACATCCTATTTCAACCTGTTGTAAGCGACCAGTTAAACAGCTCTCTAGCCAAACTACAATTCCGATGAAAGCCAAACTCTTACAGTTTTTAAGTAAAATTTGGTGATCGACCCGATCCCCTTACTGAAGTCTGTAAAAATTGAGACCGTTGGTTTTTTGTCTTCCATGTTCCGTACGATATTGACCTGATATGTTAATAAATTGCTTGCAGTTGACCTGCCTTCAAAAAAGCCATGCTAATTTTGAGAAAGAAGCCCCTGCACTGCCAATATAGCTGTCCACTAACTAAACTATCGAAAACTTTTGATATTGCTGATTGGATGCATATACTACGATAATTCTCCACATTGTCCTTCCTAGCACTCTTGAATATTGGGACACTATGGCTTATTTTCCAACTGTCAGGATAGGTGGCAGATTCGAGAGACTTATTGAACAGAAGGTACAAAAGCAGAATAATGGTGCATACACATTCCTTGAACACATAGTTTGGAATACCATTCGGTCCAGATGTAAGTTTTTTTCGGAACATTGGAGATTTCATTGAAAATATCAGTCTTCGTAATTTCAAAAAAATTCATATTGGTGCTCCAGTTGCTGTCCATAGTTTCAGAAGAAGAAATTGAAGATGGTTGGTTTTTTGTATAGACAGTTTGAAAAAACTCCCGAACAGATTGGCTATATCTTGCCCAGTATGAGCCGACTGATCTTCATAGGCTAGCACACCAGGTAGACTGTGATCTGAACGCTAGTCACTTCTAGAATGATCATGGATCATCTTTCAAGTTTATGTCAATCCCCCTAATGAAGCAATCAAAACAATCATCAGAAAGCCTCTTACATTCTGATCTGAGCCGAGAGAACCTTATATAATTTTCAGCAGAACGATTTTTCATGTAGGTACAGTGAGTGTGCATGCTTATTCTCCTGAGTTCGCTCGCGCAACTCCAAGGAAAACCATTATGAAACAGTAGATGTTCGATACTTTTTTAACGGAATAAAACAGGCAATTCCTACTGCTAATATTTCAAAGAAAACATTTGTGATTTCATTTATGTTACCGTTACCATTACCCAGCAATATCATCCAATCCATAGAAGCTAGATAGTTCTTCCAGTCCCTGTAGTTTCCATTTCGAAAATCATAGTAGAATTCATTGTACGCAAGACTATTGGCTTTGTGATCACATGAAACAGATATAGTGCATTCATAACTTATATGATGCAGACTAGATTCCAGAAGTGAATCACAAGCCCTCCTTATATCCAAGATTTAAACATTAGGAAAAAATAAATCTAAGAATACTCCCCGATCATTTGGTTTGGAATTATGCTGGAACCAACTTAACATACCCAAAGGATTGTGTGTCTTCCATAGCTGAGTCACCCACTGGACTCCGAACCATTACCCCTAGCTCATCATCAATAAACCACTGGGCATCGGGCAAGTTGCAGTCTCCCACCAAGTGATGATTTGTATTCGAGTAATGTCGATATACAGTGTGTTCCACTTTTCATGAATACACCCCGATATCTCAGTCATCAATAATGCGATTTTATTCAAATTTTGGTGGTGATTGCATGTTAGAAAAATGAACTATTTGACATAGGCAACATTTTAATCTACCATTGGCATGCGGTGTTGGGGGGTAAAAAGGGGCGCTGTATTTTTGGAAAAAAGATATTAGGGCTTATTTGAGATAATTTTTTGTATCAGATTAAAATTCAGCATCCCCAAAAACCCCTTAATTCATATGTATTTTCAAAATCTGAAGAGCTGAAATAGATATTTAATTAATTTTTTTAATAAGCTGTTTATTTCTAATTGTGATGACCAAATTACAGTTGACATTATTTTAGACACACTGTATATTCTCCACTGATATATGTGTCACGAGGAAATTGTGGAGACATGTATACTCCACCTACTATAAATTTGCTGTTATTTATTTGACATAATAGTTGCTCTATTCTGTTTTCCACAATTTTAATAGGTTGTGATTGCACTTTGTTGCTGACGAATATCAACACACCACCTCCACTGATTTTTTCACTGGTCATAGAACTTCTATCACTTCTGTACAGGCTGTATCCATCGCATTTTATTTCACTATTGATTATATCTCCACACAAATTACTTTCCACTATGACAATAGGGTAGTGGACAAGGTATAATTTTGATGAAATCGATGGCCCATCCTTTATCTATGAAGTAAATAAAAAATATTCGTACAAAAGAAATTTCAGAACAAAATTCCAACTTTGTTTAAAACGGCTATAAAACTAGAGTTTTGGGACACACTATTCAAACAGAAATATTTCGCGCCTTGATTTTACGTCATAGCTGCTGTATTTGAGTATGAAATGAATCAAACCTTCGTCCTATATTCGACACACACTTACTCATTAGTGCAAA